CCTTAGATACAATTTGTCTTCTATTTCTCATGCTGCCCTCTCATCCCTCCCCAGAAAGATCAAGACCACACCCACCAGAAAGGCCATTGTTAACAACTGTTAACAACCTATAACAATGGTTGGAGAAGGACTGCAGAAGTGGGATTATCCATCACCCCCAGTCCTTTGTCCTTCTAACCAGGCTATTCAGACCGAGAGGGGAAGTGAAATCAGAGTGGAGGTTATATCAGGAATCTCATACCAACTCTCCTCAGAATGAAGAAGCTACTTGGATGACTAGCAAAATGTTTCAACCTTACAAGAAAGAAGTCCAGTTGCCATGATTCAACTTCCAGGTCCTCTAATCCTGTGCCTACCCACACCCCCTGGAGACAGTGGAAGCTGTGACTAATGCTAGGATGCTCTTTTAAAATAGGCAATGGTAAATTATCCTGAAACATGGAAACCATGGAAAAAGAAAGAGAGCACCAACTCTCTTTCTTAAATGTCATGGTTGTACTTGACCTCCTATTGGGATACAAGGTCTACAACGAACCTACCCACACAGACCAGTACCTACACACAAACCTACTCACACAAACAAGTACCTACACAAAAACTCCAACAACCACCAATGACGAAAAGAGGCATAACCAAAACACTGATAGACTGTGCAAATCGAAACTGTGAAGCTCAATTTCTCAGCACCAAACTCAACCATCTAAATTGGGCCCTACAGGCAAATGGCTATTCCAAGAATAAAATCACAGGAGCCATTAAACCGAAAAAAAAAACAACACCCACAAAGAAAGTATTTCTGCCATACATCAAAGGGGTCATGGACTGCATGGGGAAACTGTTGAAAAAAACACAACCTACAAACAGTATTCAGGCCTACCACAAAAATACAACAAATGTTACAGTCAGCAAAGGACAAAAGGGATCCCCTCACCACTGCAGGAGTATACCAGGTACCTTGCATTTGTGGCCAGGTATATATTGGGAGCACAAAATGCGGCATCCAGACCAGAATCAACATGAAACACACTGCACACTAAAACACTAGAAAAACCAGCAGTAGCTGAACATGCCTTGAAACAAGCCGGATGTGAAATCCTGTTTCAAAACACAAAAGTACTGGACAACACCAGTAATCATTATGTCAGACTTCACAGGGAAGCCATTGAAATCCACAAACACCAACACAGCTTCAACAAAAAAAGAAGAAAGTCTAAAAATCAACAAAGCATGGCTTCCAGCACTGAACAATACAGCCTGCAAAAAGGTCAATGAACTCTACCTAGCCACAAGGACTGGTGATCACTGCATACAAAAGACTAGCTAATGACACCCATCAATCCTAATGTCATCATCTCCCCCCACCCTTATCACAGCAATACACCCATAACAAAAACACCCTGATCACAGGAATCACCCAATCTCCTGAAAAGGTCAAAAAGCTGATCCCACAGCTACAAATACTCAATAATCCCACACACTACCTTAGAACACAGAGAGAGTTCTAGCTCCTGTCCTCTGAAGATGCTGGCCACAGAAACTGGTGAAACTTTAGGAAGAAAAACCTCCAGAACACGGCCAAACAGCTCAAAAACCGTACAACAACCATCGGATCTCGGCCTTCGAGAATACATCCTGAAACAGCTTAGATAAGGTGGCTATGAATCCTGGATAAAGTATCTGACATGCTCTCTCCCACATTAAAGAAGTAAATGACTTCAGAGGTTGTAAGTATCCCTGGATCTATTGCTGTTCATGGATGTGCAGGTAGTGCCTTCCATCAATCTGTTTAGTACTCAGTCTAACTGAACCAACTGAAGATGTCCCGCTCACTTACATTGAATTCCTGTTCTGGTCATTTCCAGGTAGGATTATTGTAAACTGCTCCGGGATATGATTGAAGACAGTAGGAAGACATCAGTCTAGCATGTGAAAGGAAGCTATTGTCTGGAGTCAACCAGACGTTATATCATGCAGTGCCAGCTTCACTTGTTGCTACACTTCTCCCTTGAATTACACGGGTTTGAGCAGCACGGTTTTGGTTATACCCAGATTTTTCTTCTTCTAATAAATAAATAAATAAATAAATAAATCTTCTCCAGGAAGTTGTAGGAGAAATGTAGATCTCCGACTTACTGAGGCCCTTGTTGTTGGCAATGCAGCAGTTCCTAATCCAATGGCGGTGACCCGACCAGCTCCCTCTCCTGGCATGGCGTCTCCACATGGAGGCCAGGAAAGGTGCTGGATCATGCCCGTAGGCTGATGCAGATCAGAGGAGGTTGGAGTGGCATGCTGCTCTATTACGGGGAGAGGAGAGAGTGTGCCTCCTTTTTTCCCCCTCTGATAACAGGCTTTTTCTGTCCTTTAGCTGCCTATGTATGAGAGACGGAGTGTGAATCAACTGTCTATGCTTTGTAATTATATTTTGGGGAGCATAAGAGTTATACATGGATTTTGAACTACATAGTGGTCTGGCACTCCTACCCCAGTGTTGTTGAAGGGAGAAGTGTAATTTGTTTCTAGACTGTGCCGGCCTGTTTTATAGAGGATACTTCTCTATTTTAAATGGCTGCTGGAAGAGTTCTAGTTCTCTGTGCATCTGAAAAAGTGGACTGTAGTCTTCTTTTGATCCTATTGTTGTACTGAAACTGACTAAGATGGCTATGTTTTCCAAAAGCTTCAGGCTTTCTCTTTCTTACTTGTCCCCCCCTTTCATTCCTGAATATACAACAACACATTCTCTCTCTTTCTCTTTGCCACCATTTCTCTCCCTCTCATTCTCCCACTTCTGCCCCATTCCCTTTCTCTCACAGGACCTGCTTTTTTTTCCCCTCCACCCTGGAGTGTTGCTGGAGGGATAGATCATGACTGACAGGCATCCAGACTAATTGCTTGCACAGAGCATTTGATATTAAGCCAAGCCCCACCTCTGATTAAGATCTTACTTATTGCCATGCTTTAAGGATGTGTGACGGGATAATGTTTTTACAGTTCGGGAAGAGAAGTTGTTTGCTTAACTTGCTGACCAAGATAACTTTCTTTTTGCTAGTGAGATCAATATATTCATTCAATGCATTTCTGTTCCACATCTTTTATGCAAAAGAAGCTGTTGTTTGCTTAACTTGCTGACCAAGATAACTTTCTTTTTGCTAGTGAGATCAATATATTCATTCAATGCATTTCTGTTCCACATCTTTTCCATCGTGGAATTCAAGCTGTTATCTGTGGAGTTCCTCAGGAATCTTTTGTCACAGTGGAGCTGGGAATCTTGTTGAGATTTGCATGTGAAATCCCACAGCAGAGACCCTGAAAACGTGCTAAGGAGACCACTGAGAGAAATAACTTTACTGTAGCCTCAGGGGTGGGTGTGCAAAGCTGCTTGCCCTTGCAGCAGTGCAGCAGACAATTGCCCACTGTGTGTTTCATGAACTTGAGGTTAGAGAGAGATGCAGCTATCTGTGTTCTGGGTCTCACACCTTAGGGAGAGTGTGTGTGATTATCTGTAGTGTTTATCAGAGACTGGCTATGGGGTAGAGAGGAAGGGGGGTAAGGGCTATTGTCTGATGTCTCCATTAACATCAGCTCACTTTGGTTTACACTACCTCTACTGCAGATGAGACATTATGCAGTCATTAGGATAGAACCAATACTCAATAAGCATACTGTACCATTCTGGATCATTTTCCTTCCTTCTTTCCTATAGATATGTTGGACTACAGTTCAAATCATACCCATGCAAACTGGATGCAGTGGAAGCTAGAGTCCAACACACTTGTAGGGTAGATAGCTGAAGAAGATGGTCATTAAACAGATGAAAGAATTACTCAGTAGTTCCTTGAAATAATGATCAGAGACATTAATGTAGAACTGTAACCATTGTCCACAGCTTCTTTTGCATAATCACAGATATTTAGTAGCTGGAGCTAGTCAGCAACAGAGATTGGAAGTTTCTTTCTTGACAACTCCCAGGAGCTTGTAGTCATTTTGGCCACTAGACATGCTAGCTGGGGGCTTCTGGGAGTTGCAGTCTAAAAAATAAATACGTCTACGCTCCGATCAGCATAGCAAGGAGTGAGAAGGGACTCTTCTTTGAGTGATGAGGGATGTGTTGTTTTTAGAGCAGCGAGACTGCTTGGCAAACATTCAGTCATACCCATATATATTCTTCTCCAGGGCTGTCCCTCTGGGGGTGTGTGTGGAATGGTTCTGAAGGTTTGAAGCTGAAGCCAGCTGCTTGCGTGATGCTGATCTTGCTCTCTTCACACACCCACACCCTGCATGATGTCACCAAAAAACCTCCCCCTACTACAATCCCCACCCGCCTGGCACTTGAAAGAGAAGTTTCTTTGTTATAAAATTAAAAAGGGAACAGATTCAGCAGTGATACAAATATTCATGTGACACTTTGAGAAAGGTAAACGGCCCACCTGAAGCAAAGGAGATGGAGCCGAGCTGATAATGTAGCCACTGTTCAGTTCCCTAATATGCCCACCTGTCATTGCCATCCCTCACAAAGTCGGGGCCCAAACCCCTCCCACCACCGAGGGGCACTCACTGGCTGTGCAAAGCTGCTTGCCTTCTTCTTGTATTATTGTGTCCATCTTCACCCTACAGCATTGTATTCGTATCTTTCAGGTTGGAGCCCTAATGCTGAAAGCTGTGAAAAGCTGCTACTTCACGCTGGGTCACATTAAGGCCTGGTTGCCCATTTGTGTGGGTGGGATTAAGTTTTGCCAGCTGTGTGTCACAAATTGTATTCTGGAAAAAGACATAATTTTTTCCTTTCCCCTACCAGAACATGTCCTCCCTTACCAGAACTTACCAGCATTTTTCTCTTCCCACCCAAATGTTCAGCAAAACACCACAGCACACCATAAAAGGCCTTGGAAGACTTGGAACTGACCTACGTGTAAAAGAGGCTTTGCAGGATCAAAGCATAGCTGAGGATATGGAAGCAAAGTCAAGACACAGCAGCTGCGCCAGTCCCAAAAGCCCATCTCGATGAGAACTGGAACCTAAGCTTCGCTGAGAGTCCGGTTCCTTTCCAACACTCCCCCCTCCCACAAACCATTTAATGCTATTTCATTAAATAGCTCTCGTTGACTCTTTGCAACTGTGAGTCATTTAAAGAAGGGCTTTTTTGTCTGCACGACTGGACAGCCTTCCCGTCTGCTGCAAAGGAATTTCATATTCCAATCTACTCCCCCCCCCCACAACCAGCCTCCAAATAGCTCCAGGTCTGTAACAGTTTATTGCACGAACAGCCCTACACTTTTGTCTTGCACTAATGTAGGGTGGGGGTGGGGGACAGGAATCTACCCTGCACAGATCAAACTTCTTTGCTTTTCTCCTTTTCCCCAGCAGCTGGGATTCTTAATGTGTTAAGCAGGCTGCTGGCTTTGCTGGGGGAGAAATCTCCATTTCAAAGCCTGTGTGTCAACTTTAAGTGGGAAGGCATAAATGCCCTGTGCAGCTTCCTTGGGGACTCAGGGGGAAAGTGGTGGTGGTGGTGGGCCTAATTATTCAATTTTAAAAGTAAAATGTACTTTAAAAAAAAAACCAGTCACAACAAGTAGTGATTCTGGCGGTATGTATAGCTTCCAATAGGAAATTAACAAAAATTGTTTTAACTAGATCACACAACATATGGTGTGTGTGTCCCCCCCCCACACACCGCTCCTCCCTCTGAATTGGCAGGGCAACCCAAAAATGGCTAGGTTGAGCAAAGGTGTGGGGCAGGGGGAGGGCTGAGCTAAAAGCTGCATACTCAGCTGGAGCCAAGGGAAAGAAGGAAAAGGGGGGGGGGGTGAGAGAGAGAGGAAAAGTTTTCAGGCCTTTGTTAACACACACACAGAGGCAGCCGCCTGATATAAACTGCCTTGACATTAGATGGTCTTGTTTTTCTAGGCTTGCAAAACCAGAAGGATTAAATTAAGAACAAAACGGGAGGAGGGGGGAGTGAAACTCGTGGCCCCAAACATTCCTTGGCAGAGGAAGTCCATTCTCTACTCCCTTTGGGTCCACGTTGCAGCATTATATCCACAGGACTCAGAAAGGTGGGGTTGGGGTGTGTGTGTTTGTAAAATTGGGTGTAGTCCCTACTTGTGTGGGGCGAGCAGCTGAGGTACCTTTGCCAAAAAGGAAACTAATGAGATCCATCTGTGGATGCTTTTTTTGCAGACTTCACAAGACAAAAACGTTCATAAAACATTTTGGGTTGGGGAGGTGGGGGGGGGAATTCTGAAAAGTAAGAGTAAATTTTTGTAGAATAAAAAAACAAAGGGAAGACCCAAATGGAGAACCTAGGACGTGATTTTTAAAAGAGTAGGAGATGACAACTGGAATGTTATGTCCTTACACAGACTTATGTCACTGATGCTAACTGGAAAGAAAAGAGAACTCCTCAAACAGAGACAGCTAAATAAATTTTGAAAAAAGGGGCAGAAAGGAAGAGAAAGGAAAGGCACACATACCTCTTCCATGAAGGAATGAAGATAAGTCAGAAGGTTATTTGTAATTGAGTGCTTTGGATCAGGGTTTACGCTTGGGTCTAGTGGATTTTGGAGCCCAAATTATGCTAAACACCTCTGCTTTCAAAAGTCTCACCGTTTGCCACTTACATTGGCAAACTCAAACAAGGGAGCAGCGATACTGATGGGCTTGTCCGCATAACAAGCAGCATCCAAACACCAAGAACTTAAACCAGAGTGACATCCCATTCATTTTTTTCTTTTTTATAGACCAGATGGAATTTGCTCCTCCTCTATCTGGAAGATCTGGACTGCTCTGATACTGGACACATGTTTGTAGTCTTCCAACGTCCATCTGGTTTGCCTTAATCACCCTCTGACTTCTGGCTTTAAACCACACGCCCTTTTCTGATGAAGGAGGATGTGTGTGTCTCAGCGGGCAAGGAAAAGAACCAGAAGTTGGCTTTCTCATCCATATTCTGCTGAATAGCCTTAAAATGTAGAATCTATAATTCTAATCCTTGCTGCAGTGCTGTAGAAAGGAGGAAACGCCTGTTCTGTGCCATTTTTCCCCTTGTCTTGTGTTGCCTCCGTATGTGGGACCAGAACTGCTGCTTCCGTGAACATATTGCTGCAGCAGAAACATATATTGGGTTATTTCTGTCTCATGACAAAACCCTAAATGGTACAAGAAGGAAAGCAAAAACAACAACAAAAGACCAACAACAGAAGACACCATTCTGTCACAATCAGGAATGAGTGGTGACGGAAAGGATGGGATACATACAACTGTCTCTGAAAAATTAAACTGAATCTCAGGTGGGATGTTTTTCTCCCCATTCTTCCCTTTTCTAAAAATCTGTGTCGCCAACAATGGCTAAAATACTATTTGCTTAGGGTAGTAAGTCACACTAGAGTAGGCCCACTAAATCAGTATGGATTTGGTGAGTCAACTCTCCTGTAAGTTCCATTGGGCCTATGAACCATTGGTTCAAATGGGCCTACTTTAACTGCAGTTCGTTATACTAAACAAAAAGGTTTCAGCCAATGTATTTTTCCTTTCCTTTCCCCAAATCTGACAGCTTCCTTCAGCTTTAGGAGATATGGACTGCTAGAGCTGTGATCATCTCACAAGAATGGATGGAATTTTCTGAACCGACTTCTGGTTAAGATCTTAGGTACTTCGTTAAATCAATTTAACACCTTAATTTAATCTTGCCTCATGCCAAAAAAGGTTTTTTGTGTTTTTATGTTTAGGAATACCAAATTTAAATTTAAATTAAAATAAGGAAAAGGAAGGGTGAAGCAGTTGAAGAAACAATTTCTTAGTCTGAAAATACTTTTTCCACTTTTGAGATTCTTTCATAATCATGTTGCAATTTACCTGGGAAGAAGGACTTGGATAAAATATATAGGTTCCAGCAATTATACTTATATTCATTGTTAAGACATAGGCATGCCAGAACCCCTACAGATTTACTGGACATTTTTAAAAGGACTAAATAAAGGAATAAATTTAACAGCAATTACATCATTGTAGATTTTGCATAATATACAGCAAAATGCATTTTTGTGTGGTCACATAAAATTATGTCCACATAGGGAAAAAAATAAAGCTCACCTAGTTCTTTTTGGTTAAGAATTACGTGAAGTTAACATTTTGGAAAATCATTTGCATTCAATCTGTGAAACTGACTTCCAAGCAAATATGTTAGAATTGAGATAATAATACAGTACTGCAGAATTTTTAACAAACCTGTTGATTATTTGGGGGTGAGATGATAGCTGCTGTTTGCTGTTTTTGCTTGAGCCATAGATCTGCTACTTTCCTCTACAGGTATTTCAATATTTTAAAACATTACTGAGATGGAAAGGAGATGGGGGGGAACGAGTTCTTGTGCATCCCACCCCATATGGATAGAAGAAAAAAAGGTTGAGAGGAATAATTTTTTTTCTTCTGCATATTTTTTTCCAAGGAGCAGAAAAAAGTTTTTGTATAACAATGTTTCTCAAGGCCCTTAACTTTAAAATATGCCATTAATGACTTCCCAGTGTTGTTGTTTTTCAATCATCTTTCTTTGAGAAAAAAATAATCTATCTCTTTGGCAAACTGGTGTTGTAGGCTGTTCTGAGAATTACTGCAATGCCTAACCGCTTCATAGCATTTGATCGAGGCACATCTTGCAGATTGCTTTCGGAAGCTGCTGCTGTTTTGAGGGAGGTGGGGGGGGGAGAAATTCAAACTGAATTTGCAAAGAACAAATCTGTTTAATAAAGGAAGTGTAGATTTTAAAAGAAACTTTTTGTACAAAAACATGTAGGAAAAAAAATAGAAATGTACAAATGCAACAGATAGAACACTCTGCAGCTTAAGGCAATTAAAACCTTTTTCGGACGTAACAGTTCTTTAGCAAAATGAACCCATAAGCAGATTCTCACAGCCACGGCCCAAATTTCAGTGAAGGGAGAAGGTCAATATATTCTCTCCCCCCCCCCGCCGTACCCCTCCAAATGTATTTTCATAGGTAGAGGACTTGACTTGCGAAACTCCTGAAGTGAAGAGGCTGGGGGAGAGAAATGAGGGAGATAAAGAATTCTTGGAATTGTACCAAAATCTGTAGTTGCTAAAAAAGAGTTGTTGGATGGGGGGATTTAAAAAAATTAATTTTTTTTTGGTGGGGACTTGTGTGAGTAATTCCAAGTCTGTCTCTTATGAAAAGTTTAAGCCAAAAAAAAAAAAAATCCTATTAAGGGCCAACCCAAAAGCACGCAGTCCTCATGGCTCAATGTGTGTGTGTGTTGGGGGAATTATGGCAGAGTCAAAAGGAAAAAAAATTTAGTACCCACAGAAGGAGAAATTGTTTCCTTTCTCTGATCCTCTCTATTCTGGATCCTTGCTTGCGTCTCTCTCTCTCTCTCTCTCTCTCTGTCTCTGTTTTTAAATAGAAATATATAATTAAATTTACAAATGCTATTTACAATTTTAATTACAAAAAAGACACCCTTTAATAGTTAATAAAAAACCTAAAGCAAAAAAAGTTTAGATTTTGTTTTAATTAAAGGAGACAGTTTTAAAAACTTCGGTTTCTCTCCCTCGTTCTTTTCCTCCGATGCCTCTTGTGTTTGTCTCCGATTGTCAGAGGAGGTCCTAGCCCTGTAGGACAGAATCCACACTCCCCAAATTCCATAGAGGCTCCCCAAAGCACAAACATCCCCACATGGAGCGCCTGAAGGGTGAAAGCACATTGGATTTTTGTTCTGTCTGTTTTTCTGAAATGTTTTTAAGCTGGCAACTTTGCTCTTCACTTCCTCCATAAGTCCCTTTTCAAACAGTTGTCTCCCCATGTTTGCTATTAGTTAGCCTGGTATAGAATTTCCTCCAAGAGTGAAGGGTTTTTCCTGACCAGATCCAGAAGCCTGAGGTGATGCCCACAATCAAAGTCATGAGATACTTGATCATGTAGACGGTGAAATCCGGAGTCATACGCGGCGTATACTGAAGTGGGCAGGGAATAGCCAGACTCTTGCAGTTTTGGCTGATCCAGCTCCGCTCCCAGTGCTCGCGGAAGGCCTGCTCATAGAAATAGCAGGCAATGACGATGGTGGCTGGCACCGTGTAGAGGACGCTGAAGACCCCAATGCGCACCATGAGGCGCTCCAGCTTCTCTGTCTTGGTGCCTCCGTGTTTCATGATGGTGCGAATCCGGAAAAGGGACACAAAGCCCGCCAAAAGAAAGGATGTGCCAATAAAGAGGTAGACAAAGAGTGGGGCCAACACAAATCCCCTCAGTGGATCTATGTTGTTGAGGCCCACAAAGCAAACTCCACTCAGGAGGTCACCATCTATCTGCCCCATTGCCAGGATGGTGATAGTCTTGACTGCTGGCACAGCCCAGGCTGCCAAGTGGAAGTATTGTGAGTTAGCCTCGATGGCTTCGTGGCCCCATTTCATGCCTGCAGCCAGGAACCAAGTGAGGGATAAGATGACCCACCAGATGGAACTCGCCATACTGAAGAAGTAGAGCATCATAAACAATATGGTGCAGCCTTCCTTTTTGGTGCCTTGCACCACAGTCCGGTAGCCGTCGTCTTGGAAACGCTCGTTACACACTACCCGCTCTTCCAGCACAAATCCAGCAATGTAAGCCACGGAGACCATGGTGTAACAACCTGAGAGGAAGATGATGGGCCGTTCTGGGTAGCGGAAACGCTGCATGTCCACCAAATAGGTGGTGACAGTGAAGAAAGTGGAGGCACAGCATAGGACAGACCAGATGAGAATCCAGATCCGGGCAAAGCGGATCTCCTCTTGGTTAAAGAACATATGCCCGTCGCTCCTGGAGGGCTCACAAGGTGCTGCACAGTCCTTTTCGCCAAGAAACTTGTAGTTGAGGTAGCTGGGCACCTTGAGGACTCGTGGGCAGTGGAAGGGGTGGTCAAGCGTGGCATAGCGTGGTGGGCCTGCAGTCCCTTGCCCAGCAATAGGAGTAGCACTGGTGATCAGCGCCGGCGAGCCCCCTTCCTCGGAGTGGTTTTGCCCCACACAAATCTGATCAGCTCCATGACGGGGAAAGTTCTCACAGCGGAGTCTTTCGGGCCACTGGAAACCGAACTTGTTCATAAGGGCTTCACAGCCCTGGCGGGCCCGTTCACAAATGGAGCGGCAGGGAGGGATGGCCTGCTCCAGGACGGTGCACACAGGAGCGTACATGGAGCACAGAAAAAACTTCAGTTCCGGGGAGCACTGAACCTTCACCAGAGGGTAGAACTGGTGGACCTCCAAGCCAGCGTCTTCTTGGCTGGTGTGCCCCAGCAGATTCGGCATGATGGTCTGGTTGTAGGCGATGTCGGTGCACAGCGGGATGGAGATGGGTTGACAGAAGCCATGGTCGGGGATGGAAATGCCCTTTTCCCCATGGATCTGGGCCCAGCAGGATCCCAGAAGCAGCAGCAGCAGGCAGTGGGCCAAGGACGCGTCTGCAAGGCGCATGGTGGCTTTCTCCCCCGCCCCACCGCCCCGCGCACTTCTGTTCCTACCGACTCCCGATCGTCGCCTCGTCTCCTCCCCAGGACGAGCTGGGATCTGTCACTCCCTTCGGGGAGTCCTAGTCCTGGCAAAAGTTTCCGAGTTTTTTTTGGGGGGGGGGATCAGCCACGGAGATCCGGGGAGGGGAGGCAACTCCACTCACCCAGCGGGAACTCTTCCTCGCTGCGCGTCTCTCCCAGCGCCTTTCGCTTCCCTTTGTGTCTTCCCTCCCCAATTAGTCAGTTTCAAAGGAGGGCCCCCGGGCTGAGTTGAGCTTCGCCCAGCCTTCTTCTTTTTCTCCTCCCAACTTAATCAATTCCAGGCCGGCCCCTTCTCTCTTCCCCCCCCCATCAAAGAGACCAAGGCTGCCTAAGCCCCTTCCCAAAATTTCTCCTCGGCCAATCAGATTCAAACCCAGAGACCAGCCCTACTTCCCCCTCCCTCCTTTCCCAGGATTGGTCAGCCACCACTGAAGGAGATTTTTTTTTTTCTGTTTTTACCAGATCGCGAATCAGATGCCAACTCTCAGTCCTCCCGCAAGTCTGTGGCTGATTTTAAGGAGAAATAATTTACCTTGGGTGATTATTATTCACCTCCAGTCATAATTATAATTATTAGCAGGCGGATTACCTTGGCTGTGTGCGTAACATGAGACCCCTCCCCTCGACAAATTTTAACAGGCGAACTATAAGGCGCCGCCTCTCCCTTCTCTATGCAAACAATTTCCAGCCAAAACATACAGAAAGCTACCCAGAATACAATCGCTTAAGCTGATGTGGTTCTCCTTTCTTTCTTTCTTTCTTTCTTTCTTTCTTTCTTTCTTTCTTTCTTTCTTTCTTTCTTTCTAACTGATCCCCTTCCCTTATGTTAGTTAGATGATGGCCTCGAATTCATACTCCCAGAGCTTGCGAAGAGGGGTGTCACTTTACATGGGGGGGGGGGAAGGGTGAAAAGTTATTTTCCACTCTTCTGATTTTTATAGTGAATGAGATGGGAGCAGATTTGTAAGAGAGGAAAGCTTATTTAGAAGCTACCTCCTGACCTAAAAATCCTGCCTCCTCACATTTGTTCTGTGAGACATGGAGAGCAGTTACTGCTCTCTGCCCAAGCTCAGAGACATCTCATCTATGTTATTCCTCTGTATCAGGATCACAGGATCCTATGGCTTTTCAGCTATTATTGAAGTACAGCTCCCATCTTCCTTGACTTGGCCGTGCTAGGTAGGAAAGGAATAAAAAAAGGCAAGAAGAGTGAGAAAAATAGAGGAGGAAACTAATAACCTTTGGAAATTTGTAAAACTGTATGACTGAAACAAGGTGAAGTGTAATTCAACTCCCCTTCAAGCACTATCTGCAGAAAAATCACTCACAGTTTAAACCAAGCACGGCAAAGAAAGTTTCGAAAAGCTGTAATGGTTAAAAGCGTAACCAATAAGCTGCGCAGTACACATTCCCTCATTTAAAAGTAGCTTGGCAATAAACTTGTTTTAAACAAGCCTTTTATGCCACAGTCTTATAAGTGAACTATACAACTTGAAGGCATAGTTTCGAAAAGGTGCTCTGTTTTGTTCTGGTTTTTTTTTTAAGACTAAAGCTCCCATCATCTCCCAGATAGCATGGACCATCCTGGAAGCTGTAGTCCAAAAAGTAACATTTGGGAGCTCTGGCTGAGAGGGCTGGTGGATTTGGTGGAAGCTGCACCAGATTAATAGAGAAGTTGCCACTGGGCAGCAGAACTGCCAGATGCCCAGGTAGTGAAACACACCAGTATAATGGGCAACAGGGATTGGAATGATGCAAAGGCCATAGGCAATGATGAAGAGGAAATTTGACCTGGGTCCAAAGGTCCAAGGAAGCCTGGACTGGAATGTAAACCCATTGAAGGGGGGGGCAACGTGTGCTACATTGTAGAACACAGAAGAGGACTTCAGAAATTGCTGAATCTCAAATTAATAACCCACTAAATACTACCATTCACCATTGGCTATGCTAGCTAGGGCTCATTCCGGCTGTGTTTCAGTAACATCTGGGAAGGGGCACAGATCCTGCCCCATTGTAGAACACCGTTGAGGGTGTTTATGCAGAATTATGTTCCTGTAGTTATCTATGAGTAGAAGGATATAGAGACAAAGAGAACTGCAACAACCAATGCAAAACAAAAAACAAAAACAGTGGCAGATTCCTGGCTGTTTCTCCTGAATTGTGGCAGCTCCCTTCTTGTTGGAAAGGACTGTGAATGCTACACAGCCTCTTCCAGAGCCTCTAAACTACCCTGTTGCTGCTGGTGTACAGTACTGGAGGATACTATTACATTACCAGTATGCAAGTGGCAGTCCAGTTAGTTTCTGAACCTGGACTGGGAGGCACGAGTCATGTTCTCCTCTCCTTCAGGTAGTATATCTAGAGGAGGGGTCTGTACATATGTATTCATACACACTCCCTTCCAGTAATATTGAAAGCACCAATAACTGTAAGTATTGCCAGAGATACAGGTGGAAATGATTTTTATAGCTCTCCAAGTCCTATGGCCAATGGTCATGCTACCTTTGGGTTTCCGGGAGTTGTTGTTTTTTTTAGGAGAGTTGCTTTTTGTATACTTCAACTGATGGTTACCTAGCTGCAAACCTCTGGAGAAGAAACCCACATGTTTATTTCTGTTACTGCCACATCCATTAAAAAATTTGTACATTCCTTAAAATTTTCCCCTAGTCTTGGAGCATTATTTTTAATGATAATAAGAATTATATGTAGTTTTGTTTTGAATAGCAATATAAGATCCCCTTTATCTTCCATCTCAACCCCTGGGTGAAATTCTCCCTCTTTCTGTGAACTGGGAGGGTGTGGCCCTTTAAGAACTTCCTTTAATGGCCAGGTTGTTCCTTGCTTATAATTGCCCTCTTTCACTAACAAAGAAGTCCATTATGACCCCTTTCTCTTTTAGTGGCACCTCAAAGCAAGAAAATTATTTAACTTGTTGCTGTGAAGGTTTATTTGGGCAGGAGAGAAATTGAGAAGCTCCAAAGGGAAGCTGGAAATTATATTGTAATTATGCAGAATAGAGGAGCCATTACCAAGTAGCTCTTAAAACAAAGCTAATTACATTTTAATTGCTTATAATTTTATGGATGTTTGGGATCTTTTGTTCTGGGGGCCTTGCATGAGGAACTCAATGGTAAATCTGTTCTGGTAAGTGAAGAACTTTGAACTGGGGGGAAATCCCACATAACACTGAAATCTGTTTCTTGCAACAGTTTTATTTGCTCTTGTGCAAAGTGACATTTAAAAGTTAGATGTTTTGGTTTACTCTTAACACTATTCTTTACCTTTGTATATTTTCTAATTATAGGAATACTGAATTGTCAAGAAGAGCTGGTCATTAACTTTGCATAATCTGTTTAAATTACTCCTTGTGATAAAGAGATTTACTTGGATCTAGATTAAGTTAATTGCACTTAGTTTCCAGTGAAATAAATGAAGAAAGTAGTCTTTATAATTTGATATATTGATTACAGTAAGAGTGCTGTACAATTAGCTTAGGTTGCAATCCTGAGAGTAAGCTTTTTTGAAGACTGGGTGGCTTACTTATGAATAGGCTCACATAGGATTGCTCTCCTTGTAAAGACCCAACTAATCAAATCAACCAAGAAGTGTTTTTCACAAGTTCTGGAATGAAGCAAGCTATCTTTTGCTTTCTAAACTGGGGTAACATAAGAGTGACACAATGCATATTTTGTCCAATGTGTATCTTGTCCTGTAAAGTCAGAAAGACTTGTAGTACCTCTAAAAAGGTTTTCAAAGTGAGATACTTAAGGAGTGGTTTTATCAATTCCTCCCCCATTGAGTTTTCATAGCTAAGGAAGAATTTGAACCGAAGTCTCCTGAATGCTCCCCTTCACCGCTTGCTGACTTGTTGTGGTGAAAGGGCTTGAGTAATTCAGAGAAGCTATGGGCTATGCCATGCAGGGACGCTGAAGACGGACAGGTCATAGTGCAGAGTTCTGACTAAACACGATCCACCTGGAGCAGGAACTGGCAAGCCACTCCAGTATCTTTGCCAAGAAAACTCCATGGACAGAAAAAAAGGCTAAAAGATATGACACTGGAAGATGAGCCCCTCAGGTTGGAAGGCGTCCAACATGCTACCGAAGAAGAGCAGAGGACAAGTAGCTCCAGAGCTAATGAAGTGGTTGGGCCAAAGCTGAAAGGACGCTCAGCGGTGGACATGCCTGGGAGTGAAAGGAAAGTCTGATGCTGCAAAGAAAAATACTGCATAGGAACCTGGAATGTAAGATCTATGAACCTTGGTAAGCTGGATGTGGTCAAACAGGAGATGGCAAGAATGAAGACATTGACATCCTGGGTGTCAGTGAACTAAAATGGATGGGAATGGGCGAATTCAATTCAAATGATTACCATATCTACTATTGTGGGCAAGAATCCCATAGAAGAAATGGAGTAGCCCTCATAGTCAACAAAAGAGTGGGAAGAGCTATACTGGGATACAAACTCAAAAATAATAGACTGATTTCAATATGAATCCAAGGCAGATCTTTCAACATCACAGTAATTCATGTTTATGCACCAACCTCCGATACTGGAGAGGCTGAAATTGACCAATTCTATGAAGATTTACAACACCTTCTAGAACTGATACCAAAGAAAGATGTTCTTCTCATTATAGGAGATTGGAATGCTAAAGCAGGGAGTCAAGAGATAAAAGGAACATCAGGTAAGTTTGGCCTTGGAGTTAAAATTGAGGCAGGGCAAAGGCTAATAGAGTTTTGTCAAGAGAACAACCTGGTCATCACAAACACTCTTTTCCAACAACACAAGAGGCGACTCTACATGGACATCACCAGATGGGCAATACCGAAATCAGATTGATTATGTTCTTTGCAGCCAAAGATGGAGAAGCTCTATACAGTCAGCAAAAACAAGACCTGGAGCTGATTGTGGCTCTGATCATCAGCTTCTTATAGCAAAATTCAATATTAAAGAAAGTAGGAAAAGCCACTGGGCTAGTCAGGTATAATCTAAACCAAATTCCTTATGAATACACAATGGAAGTGAAGAACAAATTTAAGCAACTTGATTTGGTAGACAGAGTGCCTGAAGAACTATGGTTGGAGGCTCATAACATTGTACAGGAGGCAGCAACAAAAACCATCCCAAAGAAAAGGCAATGCAAGAAAGCAAAGTGGCTGTTCAACAAGGCCTTACAAATAGCAGAGAAGAGAAAGGAAACAAAATGCAAGGGAGATAGGGAAAGGTACAGAAAGTGGAATGCAGACTTCCAAAGAATAGCAAGGAGAGATAAAGAGGGCCTTCTTAAA